TCGTGTAGGTCATCAGTCCTTTGAATCATGAAAAACCTATTTCCTCAAACACGCAGCATTTATAAACTTAATAACATAAGGGTTTAAGTAAAGTGCAGTACATTCATCACAGCTAATAGCAAACTCCACAATAACCAATATTCTGGTCATCTTACCAAAATTTCTCATTCCTTATCCACTCTGTGGTATTCTCAGATGAAATGAAAATTTTCTGGAACTTTATTGAACAAGTCCTCCAAACAGAAGATTCAATCAGGATATGGACTTACAGAGTAAAACTGAAAAAGCTTAGTAACTGAGACTATGCTAAATAAAATAAAATGACCGGACAAAATGTGATAAACAAAAGAAGCAGTCTTAATAAAATATTCAGCATAAAAACAGTGTATGTACTTACTTGACTACAGATGATCTCTTCTCTATCAAGTCAGAAATCGAAGTCAGGCTCAGATTAGTCTTGTAATCAGACTGGAGGAAGACTTGAGTAGAACTAACTATATTAAAGGATTTTAATTGAAACAAAACCTCACATTTACCTTGTCAATTTCACTGATCATAAGTACAGCCACTGAAGGACAACGCCCTTGACATCTTGAAACAAGATTACTAACTAATGTTCTCCATAGGTGGTAAGAGGTATTACCAATTTTGATAATGACAAAGGAACAAAGTTAACTTGAAACAAGATCAACTTACAGTTCCCTTGACAACACTTTATGTGAAAAACTGCACACACACACACACACACACAGACACACACACACACATATATATATATATATATATATATTGTTACGACATGGGGGGTCACGTGACGAGTATTCTAGAAGATTCGCTAGTGTGTTACGACAGCAGGGGTCATGTGACGAGAATTCTAGAAGATTCGCTAGTGTGTTATGACAGCGGGAGTCAAGTGACGCTGGTAGCATGTGTTGAGAGTCTTAGAATTTTCTAAAACAGGCAGTATTATCGTATATAAGTATGCTAGACAGTGAGAGAGACAGACGGAGGCAGAGACGAAGCAGGCGGAGAGAAAGAAGGACAGTGATTACAGTCGGCAGCGGCGGGAACTGAGGATAGCAAACACAGAGATCGGAACTATAGTTGGTGGGGACGGACAATTAAGTCTAAGTGCGATAGAAAGTGAGTGAATTGTTGTGAACTATAGTGTGTGTAACTGTGAAAATTAAGTGGAGCAGAAAGCAGTATATCTGGCAACGAGCTTGAAACCACTGGAAATACTTGGACAGTTGTCAGCAGATGACAGGCTCAACTATAGAGCACTGGTAGCAGCTCTAGAACTCAGGTACGGAACCCAAAATCAGTCGGAAGTCTACAGGGCTAGGTTTAGGACGAGAGTCCGTGCTAAAGGGGAGAGCCTGCAAGAGCTGGCTCAGGACTTGGAAAGCATGGCACACAAAGCCTGCCCAACTGTAACAAACCTGGGCACAAGAGAGCTCAATGCTGGCAACTTCAACACAGGGGAGACGATACAGCAGTAAAGGCTGCTACCCAGAAAGGCTGTTGGAACTGTGGGGAGCACGGACATTTGAGGAGTCAGTGTAGGAAGAACATTACCAATAAGTCGGCCTCAAGGGGACCAGTTGTGGTTGGTGTTAAGCGACGCCCACCAACCCCCATCATGAAAGTCCCAACAGCTAGGTGTAAAATGCCAAGCACACACAGCGTCTATGTGACAGGAAAGCTGGATGGCCAAAGGTGCAACTTTGTCATAGACTCTGCGTCTCAGCAAACCCTTGTGAGCATCATAGTGTTAGATCACGAAAGAGTGCCAGAAGCTATACAGAAGCTTTATGGTTTGACAGTGGGGACCAGTGTGGATAACTATTGAGCTCATGGGCATAAAGGACAGACACAAAGTATACTTGACTGACCTTGAACACGAATGCATATTAGAATTGGACTATCTACTACCGAGGAAGTTTGTAATTGTGTTTTGATAAAATG